ATAATCGCATGCGCAGTTTCTGCAGTACTGAAAATCTATTTTCTGTACGCTAAACCTGATAACGGATCCAGCTTCAGATTGGATTAACCACCAACATTTTATGTTACCCAAATAATAATCTCGATCATTTGGACTAATTATTGATTTTTCCAATGTTGTACTTGCGGGAAGTAATCCACTCCCAGGACATACTATATAACATAAAAATGAAAATAATTTTAAGACAAATTAGACAGCAAGATTTTAGCGAGATTATAAGGTGGAAAATGACCTGGCGAAGATTTAAGATAAAGCAAATCAATAAATTTCCCAGATGATCTGATATCTCTGAAGGAGTCCCTGTTGGCGGCTATTGTGCATGTTTATATTTCAGTCTTTTTGGAACTCGACAGAAACAGATTCCTCGTTTCTTATTTCTCGTTCCCGGAGAGGAACGCCAGTACCACACCCGTTTGTACCATAGCTTAAAATCTTTTTATGATTTTTCAGTTTTTTTAAACATTTTCCTACAATAATCCCTGATCACTCTAGGAAAGATGTGCTTCTCTCCTCTTCACTTTTGCTAAATGAGAGGCTTTCACCCATCTAAAAACCAAGTTTTTTGTTACAAAGCAACTACTTTGCATGAAAGGATTACTTGCCTTTGTCCTTAGAAATTGAATTGTAGGTTCCCTTAAATCCTTTACTCCCGCGCCACGACTTAGATTTAAATACGACAAATAACCGGTTAGTACGTGAAACCAAATCGATATTTTTGGCTTTTGAACACTGAGAAAAGTTTTCAACTATTTTATTCGCAAATTCATTGTCACCATCATAAATGTCAATATAATCCCTAGCCAATTCTGGAGTTGTGCATTTCGGGAACGAAACAGAACCTATGGTCAGTCTTATCACGTAATTATCAGGTGCTTTAAGTTTCCAGGAACACTCCATATTTCCTGGATAGTCTTGCGGAAAACCATAAGTCTCAATTTCTCCCTCGTTTTCTGCAGATTCTGGTTGACAAACTAGAAAGCAAGGGAATACGAAGCAATTTTTACATGTCTCCTTATATATTTACAGTCTCTTGATCATAGTGATTTATTTTAATTTTCCTTGAAAAATAATTATTGTTGAACAAAGAAACAAAGAAAGGCAACCAACCACTACCTGCTTAATTGTATTAAAGTTATATTTAAAATTATATAAATCAATTAAAATGTTAGCCTACATATAAAACAAATTAATTAATTAAAAATATACTATCAAACATACGATTAACGACCCTGATTATTTCATATTTCACTTCCAGCCCATCAGTTTTGGCAAACTGATTTGTCTTAAACGTGATGAGCACGTGATTTGCGCTTGACATCAGATCTGGTTTTCCCTTTGTCCATTCCCCCAGCTTTGTACTAGATATTGTTAAACCATCAAATATCTGCAAATCGCCACATGCTTCACAACCGCCGAAATCAAGAGTTTTGACTGTTACACGAATAGCGTAGTCTGCGTCCACCGTTATTGGCCAGAAACAATGCATAATATCCTTTGCGATATATTTTGACTTGTAATCATAACTTTTTAGAGTTCCATTAAAGTTCTGTGATGCTGGGACATTGGAACAAACTAAAACATGACCAATATTATTAGATAAACAAAGGTGCTCAGCTACGATTGAGCGAGAAGGCTTTTTAAACGTCACTCTTTAATAAAATCTTTACATTGTTTTCTTTTCTGGATAGATGTTTTTGCGTGAGACAGAGTGTTTCGAAAATAACACTGTTGAACAGTGCATGTTGTAGGACTTGTTATGAAAACATTGATACATCATTTATACAGGCTCATGAGTCATGACATTAGATGTGAATCTTGCATTCACCCCATTTATTATCAAATAGTATATTATTTTTCATTACTGAGATTGAACTTTGTATTCGCCAACGTAAACCACAATCAAATCCCGCCCTTTTATCAGCAAAATCGAAGCACCCCCCCCACACACACACACTTTAGAGAGTTTACGATTCACAACGTGGCTAGAGAAGACGCGTTAGAAAGGCTTGGTAACTAGCGCGCCAAGGCATCTTGTTAATTTAGTTTATTTTAATCCAACGCGTAGTCGACTATTCTGTGACGGAATTTTGTAAATTTCACGTTGTGATCACTACGCTGCGAATTTCATGTGAGTATCAAATACTTTTACATTGAAAATGTGATTTAAGTTCCTAAGTTTTTATTTTTGATGAAGTAGTACCTTTGATTACATTTTCAGTGGCATTTAAACAAAAAATTACAAAGATTTTGAAAAACTTATAATTTTCCCGCCAAAATAAACGTTTTACGCTAGCGCGTTGTGTTTCGTAACATAGAATACATAGAATACGCGGCTTGGGCTGCGCTAGTTACCAAACCTTTCTAACGCGTCTTTTCTCGCCGCGTCGTGAATAGTAAAGTTTAAACTCTTTAGTGTATTCGCTATGCCCCTGCTGATAGAAACTAAACTATCCTTAATTTAGACGAAAGAACGATCTCAAAATGTCCCAAGGTCGGAGTGGAAATGACATTGATGTATGCTATATAATTACCTTTGTTTTCTTTAAGCGTTTTATACGTCGCTTCAAAGTCATGTTTCAAAGAGGGTGGTGCCACAATCAATTTAATAAACAAGAAACGACCGTCGGAGAGCAAATAAGATGGAACCTCGGAACGTCTACACCATGTCCCAAGCTTTAAATCTGATGAAGACTCTCCGTCATATACTTCTAAACTTCCACAACTACAGTGTGAACATGTGGAATGAAAACTTAGATTTAATATCTCTAATGCAACTGTACTCTCTGGGGTTGCATCCAGGCGCCATTCACAAATTATGTTTCCGTATGCTGGATATTTAATACTTATTGTTGACTCGGTTCTGGGACACACTGAAAAAGAAGAAGTAAGTCCTGTAATTGTAGGCTTTTGAAATATCGAAGTTAAATTAATAAACTGCATAAATGATTATAATACTCGTTACGTTCTGTTTAAACTGTTTGCATGTGATCCTTAAAGGTCTATCACGACTATCAGCTCATATTAAGTATTCATGCTGTGAAACCGAACATGCATGTCCGAACAAATCCCTTCCACGGCATTAAGTCAACTTTACTGGAAGCACTTGAGTATTAATTAATGAGTACTTCCATGATGAACAGCTACAACTGAGAGAGCTATTAATATAAATACATTAATGTAGTTTTCTTAATTTGAATAATTAAAACGTACTTGGTGATATATGACTGATTCACTCGGTTGCTAAACAAGCTTCAACTAGTAAGCCTTACCCGTAGTTTTGGGGACACTGTCTTGAGATGCAGTAAATCCTTTATCACCACCTCGTTCATCTGTATGAAACACAATCAACATGTTTCGTCCTGTAGAAAACAGACGTATATCTCCTTTACAGTATCTACCCAGACTTTTTCTGCCATCTGAGCCATCAAATATCTCCAGGTAATCGCAACTACAACGACTGCATTCCTCTAATTGGAGATTTTCAACTGTGAATCGAATGATGCAGTTGCTGTCACTGGATGTCAGGAGCCAGGAACAATTCAGGTTTGGAGGGTATGTTTTACTATAATCAGGGCTTTGGATAACGTGCTCTGAACATCCTTGGAATAAAAATCAAAGTTTTAGCGTATAGAAAACATTTCGACTTCCCAAAAAATTATATGAAAATTTCAACATTGACCAAATGCCCAAGATATAATTAAGGTACTGATAATTTGTTCCCCAGTCAACGGTGCGGAGCGCCGTACCGGGCGTAAGCCTGGGGCGAGGGTACTAATTCCGCCCGGCTATTTACACTCGGGAAAGGGAAGCATTAGCAATGTCTAAAGTTCATCAATGATCCCGGGCGTGGGTCACCAACCGTGGGCGTGGGTGATCATCCTCGCTGATCTAAAAAATATGGCTGATTGCCAGGAGTGATATATAAACCATAACATTCTTCACTTTTCTTCTAATTAGATATTGAATAAATAAACAACTTACTAACAGGTTTACCATTAGTAAGTAAGAGTTAAATACCGAGAAGGAGGGCTTTATGCTATATACAGCCCCGAGAACGCGAAGCGTTCGAGGGCTTTATATAGCATAAAGCCCGACATTCGAGGTATTTGAATTTGAATTTGAATTTATTAATAAAAAAATAGACTTTGCAACCATAAAGGTTGAAATTCGTCTATCATTACAGGGTTGGTTGATTAGAAAAATATTGTATATTTACAAAAACATATTTACTATAATATAGGAAGAGATTAGAACTTCTAGTATGATATTACCATAATATTTACAAATAAAAATGTATGTAATTTATAGTTACTCAGTGTT